TTTTTTTTTTTTTTTTTGTCTTTTTTCATGACCGGTAAGGGGATCGCAACCCTTGGCCTGGCGTCGCCCACACCGCACTCAGCCAGTGAGTGCACCGGCCATCCTTATATAGGATCTGAACCAGCGGCAGGAGCACCGCTGTGCTCCCAAGCGCTGCACTCTCCCAAGTGCACCATGGGGCCGGCCCGTTGGTAGCTATTTTGATCCCCACTTTACAGAAGAGAAAATAGGGTTGCCGAGATTAAATGATTTGCCCAGGGTTATACAGGTCTGGAATGGAAAGATTTTACCTGGGACGCAGTCAGTTTATCTGGAAGGCAATCAGGTGTTGAGTCCCCAGATTCCAGAGTCAAAAAGCCAGTGCTTGAAGCCTTCCTCTGCCAAAGTACAACCTTGGTTAAATCTCTTGACTTCATTTTTCCTCCTCTGTAAAGTAGAGATGAGAGTCATTCCTGCCTCACAGGGTTAATATATGTCAAGGGTTTCAAGGGGGCCTGATACAAGTCAGCCCTCTGTAAGTTAGCTATTTTTCAGGGTCTGTGTGGACTTCCCAGAGGGGTGGAGAGACAGAAGGTAGATTTTAGTTCTTGAGCCAAGACTGAGTTTCATTAGCATGGTGATTGTCCTTTAAAACATGGAAACAAATGATGGCATATAATGTTACTGCCACATAATAGAGACCATCAGGACCAAAATCCAGGAGCCAAAAGATATAAAATGCATACAACAGAGGAAATTCTTGCTGGGTATTGGCTGCCTAGGTGCCAATATGCTTTTTTGCATATTGGAGAGGGAAATTGTTACAATTATTCAGCAACCATTTTTGGAGAGCTAAAATTCCAGCCTCCCCAAGCTGCTCAGAGGTAGGAGACAATAGATTTTGACTTTGTAGAGTCAGTAGTACAAAGAGTTGTGCGTTCCTGTATTAAGTGATACTTCCTATCTTTTCTCTCTAATTTGAATTATTGCAGCTGCCTCTAAAATAGACTCACCCCAGGAAGAAATATGGTGGACTAATAGGTACAAAACTGTGCTATTTACCCTAAATGAGTAACGGTGCAGTATATACATGTATTGAAACAACCTACTGTACCCCACAAATATGTACAAATAAATGTTAAAATATTTTGAATAATAAATTAATTAATTAAATGATAAAATAAAATGCTTTAAAAATAAATAAAATAAACTAGGCTCCCCCTGTGTCCAGTTTCTTCCTCTTCAACAAATGCTTACTGAACACCAACATTGCTCCAGGTTCTCTGCTAAGTGCTAGGGAACAATAAGAAGAAATGCCCAGGCATGGTGTCTTTTTGGAGCTTCAGGTCCACATCACTCCAGAGTGATATTTGTAATGCTAGTAAAAAGCACTTTGCAAATTATAAAGTATGGATCCAGTGTTGCTGCTGTAGGTGTGAACAAGGTGGTGATGGCAGATGTCAAAGCAGAGCTCTTGCCTTTCAATGGCTCTCCACTGCCTATGGATAAAGGCATGGCAGCCAAGTCCAAACCAAATTCCAGCCTAATTTCCCATTCCCTATTGCCTACATCAGTCCTACACTCCATCTCTAACAGTCCCTTCATTTTCACTTCCTAAGGCCCTTGAATATTCTGTTTCCTCTATCTGACATTCTCTCCCTCTTTTGTCAGCCTGTAAAACCCCACTTAAACCTTCAAGGTCCAATTGTAGCCTGCTGTAGCTGCTCCCCATCCACCCCTCCCTCCCCTCCTCTTGCAGCACTCTCTACATGAGTGCTTCTCAGTAGGAGTGAAGACGTATCAGAATAACCTACTAATCATCTTCAAATCCCAGGTTCATCTCTGCTCACCAAAAATTCAGATTCCGTAGTCTGGGGTGCATAACGGTTAAGATTTCAGGCTCTGAGTCAAGCAAAGTCAGGGCAAGTCCCAGTTCAGCTATTTACCAGCATCATGACCTTGGCCATCTCACTTAACTTCCCTAAGACTCAGTTTTCTCTATAAAACAGGGATAGGAATAGGCATGAATGACTACTTGAGATAAAGTATATAAAACACTTAGTACAGTGCTTGACACCTAAGAAGCACTCAACAAATTGTAATTGTTATTGAAAAGAATTTTATTCTCTTTTTTCTGATTTTGACAGCCTATCCATTTCTTTCCCACCCTACCCCCTCCCTCTCCAGGTTGAGAATAACCGTTGAGCATTTGTCAAATGGTGTTATAATTCATTGCTTATGTGTCTATGTCTCCTACTAATGTGAAATCTTGGACAGCAGAAACTATGTCTTAGTTCTAGATCCCCAATTTGTCACACTGTACCAGGAAGAGTGTCAGTATTTATAAGCTGTCTGCCTCTTTTGGCCTTGGTTATTTTAGGTGTAAAATGGGGAGAATAATTCCTGTCAGATAAGTTGTCATAAACATCAAATGAGATCATGAATGTGAAAGTGCTTGGAAAGGTGTCAGGAAGTGGGTTGCTGTTATGTTTTTGCCATCTGGGTGAAAAAGGGCTGTGGCTCAGGCCCGTAACTTCACAGCCATGTGTCTGTGGTTCTTCCCTTTTTCTCCTTTTCTGTCCCATGGAAGTGTGACCCTCCTTCATTAAACATTCTTGTTGATTTATAACTAATGCAAGACTCCACTGTGATTTGTGCAATAGCTCGAGCCTTTCCAAGGAGAAAGGAACTATGAGTGCATGGGTTTAAGCTCAGTTTCTCTCAGAACATTAATCACTGAGAACAACGCAGTGAGGAAAACAGACACGATCTTTGCCCCAGCAGAGTTTCAATTCCATTTGGAGGAAAGCCAATGATAAACAAGAAAATATATAAATAAAATGATTTCAGAGGGTAACAAGAACTAAAATATATATATACAAAATAGGCAGTGTTATATAGTAATTAGAGAAACAAGCATTAGATAGGTGGCCAGAGAAGGTCTCTGTGAGGAAGTGACATTTGAGCTGAAATCCAAATGACAAGAAGGATTCAGCCATGTGACAACAAAGGTGATGAAGGTCCCAAGCAGAGAAAGCAGCAAACAAAAAAAATTTTTTTTTTATTTTTAGCAGCTTGGTACAAAATGGAGGTCATTGTAGGTGTAGTTACTGAGTCAGGGGAGATTTTTCTGGTGATAAGACAGGAGAGTTAGGCAGGGATGCTGCCAGTGGAGCTTGCAGGCTATAATAAAAATACAGAAATCAAATGAGCAACCACATAAAGAAAAGGAAGTTACTTTGACCTCTGCTTCTCATGTGCACATTCATTCAGGAGATATGATTCAACATCTATTGTGTGTCAGTCACCATGCTAGGAGATGAAGATACAGAGAAAAATAAAATATGGAACCAGTTTTTATGAGCCTGGTAGCTGAGTATATAGAGGCACAAATAATTATGATATAATGTGATAAACAGTCTAATAGAGGGATATAAAGGCTGAGGGAGACTAGAGGAGGGAGTAACTGACTGTAACTTAGGGGTCAGGGAAATGTTCATTGAGAATGAGGACTCTTTAACTTGCAGATAAAGCATAAGTGGTAAGGGGGAAGGACACTGCAGCCAAAGGGAACAGCAGGTCCTAAGGCGCTGGGGTTAGCCTGTTCAGAGTGGTCCTCTGTCATGATGGGAACACAGCTGCAGAGGAGGACCTGGTTCTTGCTAGTGAAAGACTTTAAATGCCATATCAAAGAGCTTGTGTGTATATATATATATATATATATATATATATATATATATATATATACACAAGGAATGTTTAGAAAGCTCTCTGTGGGGTATGGTAGATGATGGACTGGAATGAGGTACTAGAAGCAGTTAGACTAGTGAGTGGAGTTTGCAACAGAGCTACGTGTCCTGCATTTGGTTACTGGTCACAGAAATGGAGAGAGGGGTAGATGTCTAAAGCTCTCTGTGGGGTATGGTAGATGATGGACTGGAATGAGGTACTAGAAGCAGTTAGACCAGTGAGTGGAGTTTGCAACAGAGCTACGTGTCCTGCATTTGGTTACTGGTCACAGAAATGGAGAGAGGGGTAGATGTCTTCGAAGCAGGATGCCCTCGTGACCGATCCCTAAGACCCCAAACTTCAGGGCAGAACTGCCTGTATGGGGAACTCCCCACGTCTCTCTCTTGATTTCACAGCCACCTCTGCTGGCGCCCTCTCTGTCGTCCCCGCCGCCAGCCCCCGCCTCCTTTCTCAGGAAGCTTGGGTCTCCCGGGGAGCGGGTCTGCCCTTGGGGGAGGCCTCTCGGCTCTGTGCCCTGCAGATCTGCTGACATTCGGGGCGAACCGAAGAGGGGCTCGGCGCCTTCCGCATGTACAAGTGCTAGCCCAGGCAGGAGGGAGCGCCTTGGCGGAGGAATCAAGGAAGAAGGGGGAGGGAGAGGCACGCCAGAATCTCAGTCCTGGGCGCCTCGATCGGCCACGGAGGAGCTGCAGCCTCCAACAGGTTCGTAGAACGCACGCTCGCTCCCCGTTGCTGAGCAGCCACCCACTCCCAGAGAGACCCTAGCCACGGGCCCCGCTCTGCGGAGCTCCCTGAAGGCGGCTTCCTCCGGCCTCTCCCTCTCAGGGCAGCGCTCAGCCTCCAGCGGCTCTTCCGGGGCGAGGCTGCGGGTGCTACGGGCTCCTTCCCGCTTCAGCACCACCTCGGGGACAGCTCCCGCGCCTGGCGGAGTCCTCTCCCCGGGGCAGCACTGCAGAGGCGGACAGCGTCCGCCCGGCGGGCTCCTCTCCTCTTTCAGGCCGGGCTCAGTAGCACGGCCGCCGAGGACAATTCCTCGCCCCCGCGGGCTCGGCTCCCCGCGTCAGCACCGCGGCGGCGGACAGCTCCTGCCGGCTGCCAGCTTCCTGGCGAGCGGCGCACAAAGCAGAGGGGCTGGAGCCTCCCGCGTTCGTTGGTGGCGGGTGGTCGCATCGATCGGGGGGTTTCGGCTTTTCCCAGAGCCGTGTCAGAGGCGAGCTGGGGAGGGAGACCTTTTCACAATCGCGTGCCTTCGGTTTGGGTCTGCAGTTTGCCAAGGCCTGGCCGTGCAATGGCGGGTTCCAGCTGGGAGCTGGAAAAAGGGTGGAAGGGGAAACAGGTACCGAAGGGTCTCAGGCTCCAGTTGGACAGGTTGGGCCTAGGCTGAGCACCCGGCTGGGAGGAAGAAGTGCGCCTCCCCCTCTTCTCTCCAGGCCCCACCTCCATTCCCCCAGCTGAGGACCACGGACTTCGGAAAGCCTAACACTGGTGCCCGCGGCTGGCAGCTGCAATCACTGACTCAGGCTGTCCCCGGAACATCCCTAGAAAGTGTGAGGCTGAGTTTCCGTGAGGGTGGGGTGGGGGGAGGGGGCCGAGAAACCGCGGGGAAGCCGCACGAACGGGGCAGCTACACGCTCCCTCTTCCTCTTGCCCAGGGTTCCGCCCCCACCTTCAGAGAAATCCCAGCCCGCAAGGAAGGGAGGGGGAAGGGGCGACCCCGGCAGCAGGTTGTGGACGCGGCTTAGCTCTGGGAGATTGCAATTAGCAAGAAAAGAGGTTAAGGGATTATGAGAAGCTGGGAGGTTCCCAAACTGGGAAGCCAGATCAGAGGCAGAAAACCAAACGTGGAAGAGAAACATTTTCTCTATGAGCAGAAGCTGGGAGGGCCCTCGGATCACGTGATCCTCTAGATCCCTGATAGTCTTACCGGGAGACAGGGCGTAGGGGGCAGAGGTGATTCACCCAAGGTCACTCAGCAATTTAGTAGCGGAGTTGGGCCTAAAACACAGGCTACTTAACTCCTGGGCTTGTTGTATAACATTCATAGAGAAGTCTTTTAAAATCCCACATGCAAAGTAAAGAGCAGAGTGGTTTCCATTGAGTCCAATATCAGCTCTAACACTTCCTAGCATGTGAACCTTCAGCAAGTGATCCCCTGAGACTATCTTCAGCTATCATAGGGGAATGATAAGATTAATAGTACCCACCCGTGGTGAGGACTTAATGAGATAGCTAGGTAATGAGCTTAGCGTGGTGCCTGGCACAGAGTAAGTGCTTGAAAAATGGTAGCTTCCATTACTGCTATTGTTCCTTCTGTGAACATGTGCTGAAGACCTATTACGTGCCAGGCACTGGCTATGCACTGAGGAGAGAGAGAAGTGACCCAAGAAGGTCACAGACTAGCAGAGGATCCAGAAAGGACAACAAACAGTTGCAATGTGATGTGATAAGTATTGAGGCAAGAAAACAAGGCTGTGGGATCTCAGAGGCAGGAGCGATGAACTTGTGTGGAAAGAAGAGGAAAAGGACCTCAGACAGATGGAACTGTGTGTAAAGGCCTAGAGGTGTGAAATCACTGCCACTAGGGTGGTGCCACTGTGCCAGAGGGTCCTCAGGATGGGGACTTGAAATGAGAGTGTAGAGATAGGCTGGAGCCTGTCTTCAGAGGGCCTTTTATGATGGAATATTTCAAACGTATTTTTTCAAACGTATTTCAAAATATTTTTTCTATTTCAAAAATAGAAAAAAATAGTATAATAGACCCTCACATACCTATCACAAACAGCTTTAACAGTTGGCCAATTTTGTTTTATCTATACTCACACCTACTCTCATGACACACACACACACACTGACTTATTAAGCAAACCCAAGACATCATATCACTTCCTGCAGAA